TTCCCGATGGAAAGGAATATATTCTCAAAATGTACTTTAACCCAGAATAATCGAAGCAGTATGCCCGAAATGGGGTAATTAATTTCACTAAGATGTTTTATATTTTGCTAAAGGCATGAAATGACCTTCCAAATAAATCTTGACCATTTTCGGTAAACCGGGGCAAAAATAGTATATTGGTTAGATGCATAGTTGCATACTTTGCAGGCACCAAAGTATAGTAATTAGTTTCAGAAAATAACGCGCTCTCATTACCCTTTGCGTTCGTTCGACTTCGCTTCTCTAGAGAGAGCTTCGTCTTCAGTTTATAACTAGACTCTGCACGAAGGGTACGCTCAAGACATGCTCACGCATATCGGGACTGCCCAAATACATGTATACTAGAACAGCAAAATCCCACAGCCTCAGAGGTACGATTTTTCTCTTTCCAAGGTTTCACGAGATTTAGGCAGAATCTTCAAACCCTTTTTGGCACATTTTCATGTCAGCATTTGCGAACGAATAGTTCATGAGACGCCAGAATCATCTATATAATTTCTCACTTTTGCCTGGAAATATTATTCCAAGCTTTTGCTCAGGAACGTTGACACGATATCTGCACTTTAAACCATTCTGTTTACGTAACAATAGTTAGGAAACATTATTATGATGCAGACATACTAAAATCATTCTTGAAGATTCTGCCTTCAACCGGTGATCATGACTATTGAAAAATAAAAATTTTACCCCCGAGACTGCGACATCATTTTTGTAACCGAAACGGATCCGTTTTCATAACGGTCACTTCGAAGAGTTCCACCACAGTAGAATTTACATCACCACATTAATGTGGTTAGATTCTATTGGATATAATGTGTTAGTCGATAATGATGACTCGGTTTCCATTCGATAGTTTAAGCTTGAATGGTGCTGACATCTTTACATAAAAACACGAGAATTATATCTATCTTTATTACCAATTAGGCTATCATGGTAATGATATCATAGTTGATTTGTACATACAAAATAATATCTAGAAAGAAATAGAAACGTGTTTTTTATCAATAATGAAATTTTAATTTTCTTTGAAAATGTGATTGGTCGGGTAAATTCCCCATAGAGTAAAATAGAATCGTGAAAATATTTTCTTGTACCAACAGAAAGTTCAACTGAACATACTTTAAATTGATAATTTTCAAACTCATAAAGTGTAAATGAAAATCTATTTATCACTATCTAAATTGAATATAAGATTCTGATTAAGCATTTTTGATATTTAATTATCATCACCTCATATTTAGTGCCTAATTATATAGTGCTGTGGTCTCAATCATCCCATGCCTTGTTACATCTTTAGTTATTTCCTTTAGGAATGATATTCTCTTGAACATTTATAATTCCAGTAGTGGCACAAGTTGGAGATACAAATAAAATCGAAGACCAAAGCAGTATACAGAGTTGAATACCAGACAATGTCAAATGGAATGATTGGCAGAACCATGGATAGAAAAATCATATTATATTGAACCATAATCAATGGAATTAGGAGTATATTTTAAAGACTTGAAACAACACTTCCACTTCCACTTGACACTTCCAAAGAAAAGCAAATATCCAAGAGCACAAATCCAGTTAATAAAGAGAAAACATCATATGATAGAAGGCATTTGTTCATCTTCAAGAAATCGAAAATGTGACAATGGACTAAGTGAATAATTTGAGATTATTATCTTTTGTGTTAAGGCAAACCCTTTTCCTTTAACCTTAATTGTTAAGGATTTCTTTTGCTTTGCATTCAATATTGTAACTGTTTGTTTTTTTGAGTTAGAAATTGAAATGTTGAAAGCTGAAAAGGTTTTACAGGTGGCTTAAAATTACCATTTTGCAACTACTACTATTAAATAAATCAAATATCTAGTAAATAGAAGAATAAGATGGATTATAAACAATGACAGTTAAGTCTCACATCAGCAAGGTTTTCTCACTGTGTTAAACAACTTATTAGGCAGTTTAATGTCAGAAACTGTGCTAACATAAGATAATATAATTTAGTTTTTCTTTTTACTAAATTAACAAGATAATTGGCAAAATATAAAATGTAATGTTTACAGTTCTCTACATCTGATTTGTTAAATGTTACTGGTGTAGGATAAGTATCAAAAAAAATCCTCATGCTAGAGACCGATATACTGCATACTGTATATGAACATAATCTTGAAATGTATACACAAGTGTGATTTCAAGTTTTGAATACACATATAAATGTATAAATAGAATAGTATTTTGTTCAGTGAAGCTGATAGTGTGCACAGTCTGTGACTCAATTTGTGGTTTATGATTGATAAGTCTCCTCCCATCTCCATGTGTGCCAAGTTGTGTTTACAATGTCACACTCTGGTGAATTGGCTTTAAGGTCTCATGGAAGTTAACAGGAAGTGACAAAACAAAAAATGACAAAGCCATGCTGGATTTTGAAAATTTTTTGAACCAAGATAACAGAGTTCTGTTTGGACCTCCAGTCAGTTTAACTAGTTCCCCATATCATTTACATGACCAGGAACACAGTTGAAATGGTCAGAATGACCATAAACATGATAGAATAACCTTTTCAGCCCTCTGGAAATGTGACTAAAAAATAGCTAAGAGTAGGTGCTCAGGAAAGGTTACTGAACAGAATATTTTGACTTTTTCAGAAAATGTGCCTAATATATTGCTCTAAATGATACAATTCAAAAAAATTTGATATCATTCTTAGAAAAAGAAAAAATTGAAAAAAACTGAATTGAAAATCGATCTATTTTCCTTTTTACTACAGCCATTGTTGTTTCAGACGATTTTTTAAAATTTCAAAGATTGTGTCATTTAGAGCAATATATTGGACACATATTCTGAAAAAATCAAAAGATTCTGTTCATTGACCTTTCCTGAGCACCTACTTTTAGCTATTTTTCAGTCACATTTTCAGAGGGCTAAAAAGGTTATTTTATCATGTTTATGGTCATTCTGACCATTTCAATTGTGTTCCTGGTCATGTAAATGATATTTGGAACTAGTTAAACTGACTGGAGGTCCAAACAGAACTCTGTTATCTTGGTTCAAAAAATTTTCAAAATCCAGCATGGCTTTGTCATTTTTTGTTTTGTCATTTCCTGTTAACTTCCATGAGACCTAAGTACTAGACTGTGCTTTCAAGTTTTGGAAATATCTGATTCTGTCATTGGATGGTATAGATGACGCGAATCAGCCTTGTCGTTGTGAGACCTGCTGGCATCTAGATTGGCGATACATTAGCTTGCTCAGATTATTACGGAGAGTTATACTTAAAGTAAACAAACGTACAAACTCAACTGAATGCTGAATTATTTTAACGCTTGAGCAAGTCGTCTTATTTTCAATTCAAATATCTGCTTGCTGAGACATTGCACAAAGTTCATTCATTACTTCATTGTTTATATAATTTATTTACCACGCCCGGTGATCGTACAAAATGGATGGAGGGGAGATTAGGCGATTTCTGCAAGGAAACTCCAAAAATTTGGAAGATTTATTTTTTCAAGAGAAAATTCACAACTGAATTGCCAAACGAATAGACGCAGTGCATGGGAAATTATGTTTGGCCATCTAGTTTTTTTGAACTGATACACTTCTAAGATATGAGCTATTAAAAAAGGCCCATCATCCAGTGATCACCAACGTGCTTGAGTCAATGCTTTTGCTATAAATCTGGCAACAATGGTCTACACGACCTGTAATAAATAGGTATAACACCCTTGGTATACGCAGCTAACGAAAATTGACCGGTACGGGTCAAAAGCTGGACCGGTACGGGTTAACGGTTTTATTTGAATTTAAAACAGCCATAACTTGCTCAATATTGACTTCCTCGTGTCTAATTTGAAATATATGATGCCTCCCGATGATTTTAAGTACCCCAATTTTTTACAGATTTTTAAACGGACCAAAACTCTCTAAATGCGCATTTATGCTCTTTTCTCTCTCATTTTCACGATAACTTTTATTTAGTACTTCTAACATATAAGATCTATTTTTCCCCATCAAGGTATGATGTAAATGAAATGCTATTTACATCTTGTGAGTTTCAATGACGCGCGTTTGATTTTATAAAAAATGCCAAACTTTGTGACAAAGAATTTCCTCCTGCTTGCAGCGAGAAGACGGACCGGTTCGGGGCAATAGAACCGAGAGAAAAGAGCATAAATGCGCATTTAGAGAGTTTTGGTCCGTTTAAAAATCTTTAAAAAATTGGGGTACTTAAAAGCATCGGGAGGCATCATATATTTCAAATTAGACACGAGGAAGTCAATATTGAGCAAGTTATGGCTGTTTTAAATTCAAATAAAACCGTTAACCCGTACCGGTCCAGCTTTTGACCCGTACCGGTCATTTTCGTTAGCTGCGTATATCAAGGGTGTATAAGGAGGGACATTATTATCACAATACTAATGACATTGCTCACTTTTTAAAGTTAGTTTCCATGTGTTATACAAAAAATAATCGAAATAAATTAATATTGGATGGAGGGGGGACAAGATGGAAGGGGATAACGTGTATATGAGACATGATAAGACCCATGCTACTTGAATTTATTCTTATGACTCCAAATTTCCCCATTTTTCATACTGCAGAGATATAATATCCAGTTTCTTGCTGGAGTACTGAGTTACACGAGTTCTTGTGAATTTGTTCCATCGCAAAGACATATAAATCCCCTCCCTCCATCATATCCCCCCCCCTCCATCCAATATTAATTTATTTCGACTATTTTTTGTATAACGCATGGAAACTAACTTTAAAAAGTGAGCAATGTCATTAAAGTATTGTGATAAAAAAACTTATTTCATGTTATCCCCGGGCATCAATTTACAAAGACTATGTTCAAAATATACCTTACTGAATGCATCACCGAATGCGACGCTTACATGAATCGTTCATCCTTTCATTGATACATAGTTGTAGAAAATAATGCACCAACCTTAGTTTTCTGTTCCATCGCGGCCATTTTATTGGATAAATCAGTGAACGTATCCGTCAAACCTCGTTTTCAGAGGTGGCGTAACCGTCGTGCTATAACAGGGTGACTATTATGAATGACAGTGGGATACACACATTTATGTACAACTTTATAAATGAATACCGGTGTATGTATACTTTATGACTTGTGTTTTAGAAGCACATAAACTTCTTTGAATAGATTGTACTGAATACAATGTTTGCGTTGAATGGACATGAATGGAGGTCCATAACTTTGATCAGAATTGAGCTAGGATGAAGTTATGACCGATAGTGATTCAGATTCGAGAAGCGCATGGGAGGAAGGTCATCCAACACCCCATACACGTATTGGTGATGGTGCATCGAAGCAACAAACAGGTTGTGGTGTGAGCTGTCTCCAGAGATTTACCAAGTATAGAGGCCCATTGCAGGATAACAAAATACACGGACCCCTAGTTGTATCTGTGGTGTTTCTGGCGCTATGTATCGACAATATGTTAATGACCGGCATGGGTAAGTTCAGATTCGTAGACTATATATATATTATATGATGTTCCAATACAAACGGAATCTGTATTCATTTTTCTATAATGCCTGGGTCGCATTTGCTCCGTCCATCGGCCGGCGCCCGGCCGATTGAGTGTTTTGTTCAATATTGTACATTGTATTCAATTTTGAACAAAATACTCAATCGGCCGGGCGCCGTAGTGAAAATCGGAGCAAATGTGACCAGAGCATTATGAGTATTTTGTTCAAAATCGGCCGGCGAGCCCGGGCATCGTACGGGCACCGGGCGATGATCGAGCACCATCGGCCGATTTTTAGACATCGCCCGGGCGCCGGCAGAGTTTTATCGCGGAGATAAAAGTTGCCGATGTGTTGGCGATTTTTTCTCAACCAAACTCATCGGTACCTACCCGACCGTGTCCCGTAGGGTCATCGCACGATTATCTTACGACTCCCGGTGGCATCGTGAGGTCATCTTGGGATTTTATTTAACTTTACACACTGATTTGTTCGATAATTCTCAATTATAATTACTAATATGATATAAACATTTTAAATATGATAAGGTTATGAAATATAATTGCCCAGAACTTTTTTCTACAATATAAAATAACAACGAAATATAATCGTAAAACAATAACATATTTGGGTCGTTGTGTGGGTGGATGGATCTTTTCGTCCTTATTAGCTGATTGTCAGTCTTACATTTAATCCTGTTGAAAAAGATGAAACCTTTTTATCCGTATATTCGATTCAATCATCCATATGTCATTAAAATCATTTGAAAATGTTTCTGTGGGTATAGTTTTTTCAAGGGCTACACTTTGCGAGAGTCTAGCTACAATTTATTTTATTTGAGTTCCATACAATAAATCGGATGATATGATACCCTGCGTGCAGAGTCTAGTTAAACTACAGACGAAGACGAAGCCCTCTTTTAAGAAGTGAAGTCAAACGAATGCAAAGGGTAATGATATGATTATTTTCAATAAATTAATATGAAGTTCAATATCATAATGTTATAGAATTTGTATACCTGTATGTACAGCTCATACAAAGATATGTCTTTGGTTAATGTATCATGATTGATTTTTGAAACTGAAATGAAAGAAACCTTTTTTATGAATATATGAATAGCTGTAAAGGCTCTCTGGTGTCCTGTAGATCGACCGATGTCCTGGCGCGTGCCGTACGGTCATCGGCAGATAGCCTTGCGATACCCGTGCGATTTCCTATAGATTTAATAGATTTAGTTGTTTGCGGGCGCCGTACGGTGCCTGTACTAATGTGACCATACGGCGAAATCAAGACATCGGGGAAAAGTCAGCGGCGCCCGGTCGATTTAGAAATCGGCCGATGATTGCTCATCGGCCGGCGCCCGGTCCACATGTGACCTAAGCATTACAGTAAAATTTTAAATGTTTGGAACTAATGTACTTTGAATTTAAAAAATAAGCAATCAAAGGACCGTGTTGTAACAGTATATGTAGGGAGGCGTACAGGCGTTCATATTACCGGAAGATTTCCTTAACCGTCTTAATACCACGGGGTACCATCGAATAATTTTGGCAACGTACCGGAGAACGACATTTTACTAAGAAATGGCAATAATTTAGCACAATATATTTTTTAACTAGAGTTCTACTTTGATTTTGACAAAAGTAAGTATTCCATGCAATGGCTATTTCATTCATGAGTTTGTAGGAATTCTGTTGGAACCCAGTCCTGATCAAGTAGGAAGTTATTGAAATCGGCGCAGTCGGACTTTAAGTACAGAATAGTCCTAATACTATTGAATAATTCTGTTATTTCTGATTCACACGACTCTGATTTGTTTAATTAAAGAAAAGTTTTAAAAATATTACTTAGGAACGTAACCGGAGCTGGGAACGTAACCGGAGCAGATCAGTTGAATTATATAATTTAAAAAAATAAAATATATGATTCAAAGCATATATATTAATAGATACGCATTCGAACAATCCCGTATGTTTTTAAATTAGTATATGTGCTTTAAATCATATATTTTAATTTTTTTGATTAAATAATTCAACTGATCTGCTCCGGTTACGTTCCCAGCTCCGGTTACGTTCCTAACCCCCCTATCACACCAAACTAGTTCTTACCCGTTCTTGCCAGTCCTACAAAAACGTCGTAAAACGGGCTCAATCTGGCTGTGGTCGGGAAATATGTCTGAAATAATTAGCTTCTTCGTTCTTAAACAGTCTTCAATACGTCCATCTCGTTCGCAGTTCGTTCAGGTCGCACCACGTCGGTGTGCAACGTAGTAGAACGCGTCCCTTAGTCTAGAAGGTCAACATGACCTGATTACAGAACGGTATGGTCGCCATCGAATTTTGAATCGATTCAAAATTCTAAAATCACATTCCCGTCTGAGAACGTTCATAAAGTTCGTAAATAGACCTTAGAAAGTTGCAGCTACGTTCATTCCGTTCGCATACAGTTTAAAACCAGTTTTGAAGAACGCAGTGGCAACTTGTTTGGTGTGATAGCTATATTTTTGCTAACTCGTTCATCAGCAAATACGTTCTTAATCAGTGTAAACCCGTTTGCAATTAGTTCTACATCGTTTTCAACACGTCCTCAGACAGTTCAACTCGTTGTTAAAACGTCCCTAGTAGGATTGAAGTACGACGGTTCCGATCGTAGTACGTCCAGCTCGTCGTTAGTACGTTGTCACTCGTTCTAATTGTAGAACGTGACGACCACGAAAACATTTTGAGCATTGTCAAGTTCTAGAGGACCTACCCGTTCGAGTACGTTCGATGAAGTTTGTAAATAGATCCCAAACGGTTCTTAGTAGGTCCAGTCCGTTCGTACACAGTTGAAGCCCGTTTTCGAGAACGTAGTGAGAACTAGTTTGGTGTGATAGTAGGGTTAGTAATATTTTTAAAACTTTTTTTTTAAATAAACAAATCAGAGTCGTGTGAATCAGAAATAACAGAATTATTCAAAAGTATAAGGACTATTCTGTACTTTTTTCAAAAGTCTATACTTAAATGTTGTGAAAAGTTATAATCGAAAAACCATCTTTCGGAGTAAAGTCCGTCTGCGCCGATTTCAATAACTTCGTACTTGATCAGAACTGGGTTCCAACAGAATTCCTACAAACTCATGAATGAAATAGTTATTGCATGGAATACTTACTTTTGTCAAAATCAAAATAGAACTCTAGATAAAAAATATATTGTGCTAAATTATTGCCATTTCTTAGTAAAATGTCGTTCTCCGGTACGTTGCCAAAATTATTCGATGGTACCCCGTGAATACACCGTTTTACAAGTACTTCTGGAGTAAAAGTGGTTTTAAAGAATGTGAAATTAAGAAACAACCGGAGAAAATTAAAAGAGAGATTTTAAATTTAGATAAAGAAAATGGTGGTCTAAACATGATAAATATGATAGACTTTCAAATCTCATTTGTGGTAAAATGGTTTTCAAAACTGATTGGTGAGGGCATGGATAAATGGAAAATAATTCCAAAAGCTGAATTTTCCAAGTTAGGGGTTGATTTAAATGTACTCAAAAGCAAGATAGATATGGAAAATCTTATAGGGATTAATGAAGTAAAGAGTAGTTTTTGGAAAAGGGGGTTAGAAATTTGGTTAACAAAATCTGAAAATAAAAATCTTTTAGATTGTGGCATCATTTGGAACAATCTGGACATAACTTTTCAAAAAAGAGTTCTTTATAACAAAATATGGATTAGAGGGGGGATTAATTATGTGTCTGATTTTATAATAGAAGGTAAATGTTTAACATACAATGAAATAATTAATAAATTAGGCAGAGGCCCAGATGTTTATATGCAATATGTATACTATGTATGTATGTATTTATTTATTTAAGTGTCACGCCAATATATAAAATTACATATTATTAAAAACTACATAAAATCACTGGCCCTGCCGGTGTCGGCATATGAGACACTATGGTGTACAATAATCACTTTTAAGACCAAAGTTTTTAAATAAGTTAAAATGATCGTCTTTTAATACATAGTTTAATAATTGTCTTTCCCAAACGACGTTGAAGGAGTTCACAGTTCATTATTAAACAATATTTTGCAAGGTTAGATGTTTCAAAGTCATCGCCAAATATTGTCCTTGCACTATCCATAGGCTCACTCCTCTCGAGCTGGTATAAAGGGCATTCTATCAGAAAATGCAGTTCTGTTTCGACAGCATTACCGCAATGACAGAGGCGCTCCTCAAGAGGCATATTGATATAACGCCCCGTTTCTAATTTTAACGGTAAAGTGCCACTTATACAATGTGCAATATGTACAAGTAAGAGCAGCTTTGATAAAATATCCAAATAAAATCAATAGGAATGAAAAAATAACTTTTTGGGGGGGAAATATAGAGAAAATAAAAACATGTAATATAAGAAAGAAAATTGTTAGTAGAAGAGGGGTGACAAATAAATCAGAAGCCCATTGGAAAAATCAATATGGTGAGATCCCATTTAAGATAATGTATAGAGTACTTTTTAAGACAAATGTAAATCATAAGGTAAAGGAATTCATATTTAAAGTAATAAATGGTGCAATAGAAATTGAAAGAAGATTGAAAAAACAAAAATGATCTGATGGAATGTGTAAAGTTTGTAAAAATGCTGAGGAATCACAAGAACACCTTTTTTTAGAATGTAAATTCAAAAATGAATGGGACAATTTAGAAATTACTAATTTGATTGAAAGAGATAAAATGCTTTTTTACTATAGAGAAGATAGCTCATTAGAAAACATGATAGAGATTAATAGTGAAATTTTTATTATTAAACGGAAAATATGGTTAAAAAGATGTCTAGAAATTTTTAATTAAGAAAATGTATTTAGATTTTAAACTATAATAGTATTACGTACATGGTGGGTAACAGTGTTTTTTTGGATTTCACAGATATATTGATTTGTTGTATTGAATGTATTGAAATGTTATATTGAATGTAGTAAATGGATCGAATAAGTGTATTAAATAAATAAATAAAAAAAACAGTATATGTAAAAATAGAAACATTTATACATGTCCTAACTTTTGTAAATTTTAGTTTGTTTTGTAGTTAAGCTATCATATCTGTGGCCTCTTATATTTTGATGCTCCCCTGCCATGTTATTTTCGGAAAAATTAACATGTCTGAAACTCCCTAAATTACAAAAGGCCAAAGCTTTACTGCACATTATACATAACTATCTGAAATATACAAAAGATAGGACAAGTACATATGTTTCTATTTTTTAAATTCAAAGTAGTTCCAAACATTTAAAATGTTACTGTAGTTATGATTTTGTATAATCCAAAACGCATATTGAAGCGAGACTCGTTAACACTTGTCAAAGTGTCATACTGTCATAAATGAAACCTTCAAAATCCAAAACATAGGTCTGTTATTCTCTCTATTTCAGTGCCTATAACATATCGATTATTCTCTCTATTTCAGTGCCTATAACATATAATATATATCTGCTATTTACTCTATTTCACTTCTGATAACATATCTGACTGTTATTCTCTTTATTTAGTGCAAATAACAGGCCTGTTATTCTCTCTATTTCAGTGCATATAACATATCTGTAATTCTCTCTATTTCAGTGCCTATAAAGGTTCTATAACATATCTATTATTCTGTCTATTTCAGTGCCTATAACATATCTGACTGTTATTCTCTTTATTTAGTGTAAATTAACAGGCCTGTTATTCTCTCTATTTCAGTGCCTATAACATATCTCTTACTCTCTCTATTTCAGTGCTTATAACAGGCCTGTTATTCTCTCTATTTCAGTGCCTAACATATCTGACTGTTATTCTCTTTATTTAGTGCAAATAACAGCCCTGTTATTCTCTCTATTTCAGTGCCTATAACACCGACTTTACTGCTCGACTTTTTGACTTCAAAGGTTGTTGATATCTCGTGTGAGCCTCGGCTGAACGGGACGTGTGCAAATGCATCTGCTCAAGGGGGATACAACATAGAGCTTCTCGTTGGGCTTATGCTATCCATTGACAGCGTATCACATTTGATATGTCTGCCGTTTGTAGGAATTTTTACCAACAGGTAACTATCTTTTACTATTTCACACTACCCTACCACGTGACGACGTTTAAAAGGGAAACAGGGTACAGTTAAGTTGCAAATGGAGGACGTGGGTTTAATTCCATATTTCTGAACGTAAAATACATTTTACATTTATTTCTAGTGTTCTACCAGACATAATTAAAATAGATTCATCAAGCAGTTTGTAGAATATTGTTGGCAAAAAAACATATAGGCAAAGATAGAGAAAAGTGGGCGCAGTGAAGTAAAACTTGAAAGCAATACAAGATACATGTCAGTAAATATATTAACGTACAGGGAGCGTGTAAGTTTCACTTCGAAAATGTCACTTCTTTTGACATTGATATGTATCAAAAAATTTAATTGTGTTATATGTAGATACGTTTTCCAGTATGTTATTCAACTGTATTTTTGTGAATTAATTGTTTTTCTAAAATCTTAAGATGAATAAAAAGTCGTCCCAGAAATATATCTTTACTGCCGAAAGGCAGAACATAATTTAAAATATTTCTCCTCTTGTCACAAAGAGGATAATGTTTGTTTTGAGGTGTCTTATGATGAGCGTTTCATGATTAAATGCAAAATCACTGGAGCAGATACCATCCAAAAACATCTGACATTCAACAATTGATAACAATTAATTTAATTACGAGTGAGCTCCTTGCGTTTATTTTTACCTGTTTATATATCTAGTAGGGTAGCATTTATTTCATAAATAAACGTTCACCCAAAAATTCGTTATATGCTCGGAACTTTACCATAAATGTAATATCAGGGGTTAGTATGTTGGCTAGGTTATGGGGGATCAAGGTGAAGTGATTGTACCGTCTTACCGTCTTACTTGTAGTTATTTAAACATTCTGAAGCATTATCAATCCTTAAATAATACCCTAGGTACACTAATGCATCTTTTGTGCAAGAATGAAAGATGTAGATGATGTATGGAATGAGTTATGTTTATCTGAAAATAGCACATGGTCATGAAAGTTCATCAAAGTGCACCCTGACCTTAACTTTATTACCCAAACCAACTACCATATAACCCTTTTACGATATTTCCATTGTATATATTTAATTAATTAATTTGTACCTACTGCACTTTATACCTTGCGTTCACTCAATTGTTTAAAGTGCTAAATTTACCTTTTTAATAGATTTTTAAACGTATCGATCGCCAAAACCATTCATTCATTCATTCAGATTATAAATGTTCTCTATACATAAACCAAATAATATTTACATTTACAATAGTTTAAACAAAATATAAAGTCGATGTTTTGGCTCTCTATTTGTAAAACATATAGGTTACGCATAATCTAGCGACCCAAAGCATGGCTGACCCCCCCCCCCTCCCCCTTCTCAATTGGTTTTCCCCGGTACCTAATTACAAACCTTTTTCTTATACGTACCGGGCTAGGAATTGATGCGAATGGGAGAATTGAAGTTGTCCCCAGAGGAGAATAATTCCACATGTTAACCAACAGATCCTCTTAAAATCGCGTCGCTTAACCTTCGAAATATGAACTAAATGTGCATATTTTCCAGGTTTGGATCCTCCTTTCCCATGTTCATTGGGTGTTTGTTTACGTTGGTCGCAACACTGCTGTTCGGATTGGGGCAGAATTACGTAGCAATGATAATTTCTAAAGTGATTCATGGATTTGGACTTGCGCTCACAACAGTTTCAGGTAAATGATCTAAAAACGATTCTATTATTATACTACAGGGTGCCCGGAAAATAGATACAAATGCTCTAACTTCAATAGATTTACCTGTTGCGAGATGGAATCGCTACAGATTGTAGAATGACATTTCAACAATATATCCTGTAACTACCATGACATATAGTTTCAAAATGAAAAAGTTGGAGTTGGGGGTATGTGGAGCAGCGTCACAATTAATTTTTATTGTCTTTTATAAATCTTTTTCCTATTCATATCATCTTGGCACTCAACCCATTTGTTCCTATAAAACATCAAATTATGTCCCACAACAGCATAAGAATTAGTACTATAATGTTATTTTATCATTTAACATGACTACTATTATCCGATATTATGTTTTCCCCCGCATTATCTATATGTTCATGGTGCATCTTGGCCAGACATTCAAAGACCGGAGAGTTGCAAAATTACTGAATTTTACCAAGTACATCTAGAAATGAATGTGAGAATTGAACCACTAAAACTATATAGAATATTCAATTTTCTAATACCTTATAATGCTATCTGACCCGAATTAGTCACCTGGTGGTGAAACTGGTAACTACCTATTCACATCTGGGTTAATTACAATAAATCCGGGCAATAAATCCTCAGGTGATTTCTCAAATTACTTAAGAAATATAGCCCAGTCAATAATGGGTCCGATAGTTCACGATCATATATTCTTAGACTTTCGGCACATAGACTAATATGGACATCCTAAAAAGTAGATCAGCTCTAAGTCTGTTTATGATTATTTCTTGTTTTCTTGTCAAATTAAGAGAGGTAGATGGCAGAGTGAGTTTTTTGGGAGCAAAATAAGTTTTTGATATTTTTTGAAAGTCTGAAAAGTGTCTTCTTTTCTCTGATATATGATGGGAGCATTGACCATGAACTGATTGCACCTAGGACTGCCGACTCCAAGAATCTGTTGCTACAGCGGATGGGTAGCTTGAAGTCAAAAGTGCTCATTTAGATATACAGGATTTGTTCCATTGACAACCTTGTACATGAAATTATTAACTTGCATCTCCCTTCTGTTCTCTAATGTATGTCATTGTAATAAAGTGAGTACTTTAGTGGTATTACTACCATGGTAACAGCCTGAACACAAGATGGCTGCTTGGTAGTACAGCTTATGCAGCCGTTCAAGTAAGTATTTGGAAGATGTTTTGTTTAATACAACACCGTAGTCAAAATATGGACGAATAAATGAGGTAAAATTGTCTCCAAATGTTTAGCTGTCAGTTTGCCTTGGAGTTTTTTTAGAGGATTTGGCATTTTTTTACCTTTGTACAGATCTCATCAATATGATTTATATTTGAGAGGCATTTGTCAAAACAGTAACCAAGATGTTTATGGGTTCCAATTCTTTTGATTTCAGTGTTATTGAGAAATGATGCGGTCACATTATTGGAGTATGAAAAATAACTTCGCAACTCTTCAGATTTAAACTGGAGCTTCCATAATTTGGACCAATTTTCAATCGTGTCTAGGCTACTTGCGACAGATTGATCTATCTCATTTGGATTTTTGGGGTCAAAAGAGAAGTGCAGTGAAGTATCATCTGCGTATATTTAGCACTCTGTGTCAATTTTATCTGGGAGATCATTTATGTACAATAAAAAATAGAGGTCCCAAAATTGATCCTTGTGGAACACCGCAATTGATAAAGTTGGCCTCTGACATTGAAGACGAAGCACCACGAAGCACCTTTTATGCCATTTAATAACTGTCACCTTATACCATAAGATTTTAGTTTCAATATGAGTGATCAGGGACTTTGTCAAATGCTGATGCAATATCAAGAAATATTCCTTTTGATGCCTTTCCTTCTTCAAAATTATGCTGACGGAACTGACGGTCCAGGAAGAAAACCTGTCTGGTGTTTATAAAGTAAATTATTAGAGGTCAAATGCGTTCGAATTCGATCGGCTTTTACCCTACCAAACAATTTGGATATCGAGTTTAATGGATAATTGGGCGGTAATTGTTAATATCAGACTTGTCACCTTTTTTGAAAATTGGACTAACTATGCCTACCTTCCATGGTTCTGGAAAGACATTTCTTGAACATAGTCTGTTAAATAAAGTAGATAGAGGTCTTGATATTGTGTGTGCTGTGAGGTTAAGGATTTTTTTTTTTTGTGATCATATCAGGTCCACAGGCTTTTGAGGTGTCAAGTGACAAAATTAATTTCATCAATCCATCTGGATTGGTCGCAACTGAAATAAGTAAGGAGTTGGTTCTGTCAGGAAAATTAGGTAATTGGTCAAAATTGATATTATCCATATGATTTTTGGATGCAAACAGCTTTAGAAAGGCATTTGCCTTCTCAAGGTTATCTGTTATTGGCGGTTGATTTTGATTAAACAGTGGTGGAATTTGGGAATCAGCACTTTTACCAAGAAACAGCCTTATTAGTTTCCAATAATTCTTATCATTTTTACTAAAATTATTAATGGAATCGCGGTTTTTTATCATGATTTTCTTTAAGATTTGTAATAAGAGTCGTTACTTTGATTGATTGATTGTCATAAAGATGTCTATTGAGGGTGGTAGGTGATGATTTGAGTTTCCTAAAAAGTAATTTCTTTTTGTTGATTTCTTGCCTAAGATTTTCAGGGCTGATCTTTAGATTTGATAGTGATTTTCTTATTTGGAATGTGTTTTGAGTAAATATTCATGAGTGGAATGCCAAAATGTGAGGTCACTTTATTCATATCAATGTCTGAATCAATAATTTTTTTTAAAGAGTCAAAATAGACAACTTGATGACAGAAATGAAAGCATTAGGAGCTACACTATTTACATAGTAGATGATATAGAAAGTAGTAAAAAGGGCACTACAAGTTCTTCATATAGGTCAGAATGGGCATTTGAGTGGCTTTTTAGACTGGTATTGACTAAGCAGTAACCTTTATTAAAATTGCCAATACCTACCCTCCATTGCTGGATACTAATACCTACCCTAGCCCAAGTATCCAGTTCAACCCCCCTACCCCCCCCCCCCCATAAACAAGTGCAAAAATATATACTGTCTTCATGTCAGTGATAGTTGGATTTGCAAAAACCATGTGAGGAATCTTAGAAACAGAAACTTAGAATCAGATTAAGTCTTCAAGACATATGTACAATGTAATACTGTCACTGCATACAATACATGTAAGTTCTAACAAATAGTAATAATAGAAGAGACAAGTCGTATATTGTGTGCAGATGAACACGTCTCCCTCATAGCTTAGTTCTAGATGAGCAATAAATGACCATAAACTAGGCTTGCTCACTGAGTCAGTATACGTGTTGCCAGCTGTCTAGGGTAATAATGCTTCATGTATGAACAACTAACCCAAGTTTAAATATAACATGCCTAGATGCCACCACCTTGTTCAAATCTTGTTCACCTTGTTGAATCCTTTTTTCATCAGAATATAATAGGTTTGTATGTTTTAGTAGAGATCGATTCCTTTGCAAACAATATTTAGATAAACACATAATGAAGATCGAAAGTCTACCATAACGCCACCTATTGGTGAAATTGTTCAAAATCAAAACCGTGTTTTACAATATATTGAACGGTTGGAGTAAGCGTCTAATAGTTTGGAGAGCCAAGATTTGATCTGTATCATGCATAATAAAAAAATTGTATTATTTTAGTATGCCAACTAAGATGTCAACCATATAAATCTTGGGGGAGGGGGGTATGTAGGGTAATGATGTACATACTAGAGCAGCCTTCAAGCTAGTACATCTTGATGGGAAACACTGCTTCTGACAACCACACTTTACCAATGGTTGACTAGCATCAGCCATCTGCTTTAGGGTAGTCCTGTGTGGCTTTTAAGTGTTGGGTCCTGGCTCTGTTCTCAAGCCCCAGTTCTTTGGAGATGGGACAATATCCAGGGAATGATAGGACTCGGTTTGTTAAACTGACCCTAGCTATGTACACTTTGGTACAATGCTCGCTTGCAGTGTTTCTATCTATCTATCATACACACCCTATGCAGACAGAGCCTGTGGGAAATATTGGGTGCGGCGCAAATGAGCGGAGGGTGCGGAGCTAACGGTCATTTTTGAATTTAAAATTGGGATATTTCTAAAACTAAGCCGTTTTGGGACTTCAAATATACCAAGATATGTGTATTTGACACCAAATATCAATAAAATTGTGAAAATAGTAGTGCAATTCATTTTATAGCGACGCAGTATGCCTTAAACATTTCCCAGACCTATATATTTTGAGACTATCCTTTTAATACTGAGTCCCCAGCATTCATAAAAAATGGTGTTCAAGATACACTACCCATGCAAATTATTTTTGCATCTTGGAAGCCAGGCAGTATCTGTGTGATTTTATAAAAATTCGGAAATGTTCTTCAGATATGAGCCCCCTCTATAATATTGGGTGCGGAGGTACGTTTATGGAGCTCCTCCGCACCCAATATTTAGAGGGGGCTCATATCTGAAAAACATTTCCGAATTTTTATAAAATCACACAGATACTGCCTGGCTTCCAAGATGCAAAAATAATTTGTATAGATAGTGTACCTTGAACACCATTTTTTATGAATGCTGGGGACTCAGTATTAAAAGGATAATTTCAAAATATATAGGTCTGGGAAAGGTTTAAGGCACACTGTGTCGCTATAGAATGAATTGCGCTACTATTTTCACAATTGTATTGATATTTGGTGTCAAATACACATATCTTGGTATATTTGAAGTCCCAAAACGGCTTAGTTTCAGAAATATCCCAAATTTAAATTCAAAAATGACCGTTAGCTCCGCACCCTCCGCTCATTTGCTCCGCACCCAATATTTCCCACAGGCTCTGTCTGCATAGGGTGATACAGCACCATAACATTAACAGTTTAAAGGATCATCTATAAGACTGAGGAGTACATTCATCAGTTGTGAAAATGAGTTCCATCTGTCCCATTTATCACAATTTATTTAAATAAAGGCAGTAAAAAATGATCAAAAAAATATTCACATTTGACGATTATTTTGGCGGCCATCTTGAATTTTCACCATGATGGAGTGTGAATCGCGTTTGGCAATGCGGGTCAAAATCTTTAAAATGTCCATATTTATTATTAGTTTGTGTGCCGAAAATCTAAAATTTTCATTACAGATAACAGTTATTTAAGAATGAGCAAATTAGGTCAGCATGAATAAAATAATAATCATTAATTTATGTTTCAGAGCAGTTCAATGCATATACCTATTAGGTGGGGCTGCACAACACTCTTCTTTATTGGTTATAATGAAATATTTTGACGGATATATGTTGAATATTATCAGTAAGCATTGATAAAATCTTAACTTGTCAAATTGTATTGAAAAGAAGTAGTAAATAAGGAAATGTTTGTTATTTTGACGTCAATTTTGGTATAATTTTATCAAAAGGTGGCGCTATTAAAGCAATTTCTTATGTTTATACTTAATAAAAATCATTTGGTAGGAATATTATTAAATAATATCTGAAGACACTAATTTATCACATTTTATTGAAATAAAGATAGTAAAAAAATTATTAAAAAATATACATATGTGACGATAATTTTGGTGGCCATCTTAAATTTTCACCATGACGGAGTGCGATTCGCGCTTGGCAATGCGGATCAGGATGTGATTTTTAGAATGTCCATATTAGTCTGTGTGTCGAAAATCTAAGAATATATAGGATTGTGAACTATCACCATGTTAGAAACCCATTAGTGATTTGACTAATAGGGGTGGTCTTGATTTCAAGATTTCTATACTCGAAATGACGAAACTAGGTAGCTATGTCTAAACACCCTCGTTTATAAACCAAGCCGGTCGTTTTAGATTAACTTCTATGTGATAAATGATGGACTAACAATAAAAACAGGATTATGTAACATCTAATGAATAATATGTTGATAAAACTAATCTAAAGTGACATTTACAATTAATGAACAGTAGACACCCATACTCTCAAGTTTCTGACAAACCAAATACTGGCCAGAATGCAGTGGATGCAATTTTAGCTCATTTTGTTCCTCTCTTTCAGCCACAGCTAAGATTGCTCATACATATAGCGAAGATGGAGCAAGAGGAACTGCCATTGGAATTTCAACCAGTGGCATTGCAGTCGGTCTCTTGCGTAAGTTGGTCATAATATAGTGGCTCATATAGATAAGTGACATTACATTCGATCTCGGGCGTATTTAGTTTGTCATAATATAATCACAGGCTGGAATCGAGAGATTTGTCCGCTGTGACGGAGCATGTTATTTTTCATAAAAAATACTAAGAAAACCACAAAATTTAATTTTAATTCATATGTTTCGTTATACCAAAGAAAATTGATTACTCCATGCAATGGATGTATCATTTGCGGATAACTTTCACTTGTTTCAAGTCCAATGACGCTGGCCGGGAGGAAAAGCTATTGAAAATGGCGCCGAGGATCATACTCCAAAATGTACCATTTCTTGTTTAACTTTTTTTTATTTATTTATTAAAATCATGGCACGATATAGTTACACGATAATATTTACATATGTTTTCAGCATAACTATGAGAGTATCAATGAGATGTTGATGTAATGGGACTTTTTAATTATTTTTTAAAAAATGATGTTAATTTTTGTCCGCTGTGACGGAGTAGTTGCAAATGTGAACTGTGAAACTGCTCCGTCACAGCAGTCAAAAAATGTAAACATTGTTTTTTTAATAATAACGCATGTTAGTTAAATAAGAAATGGTACATTTTAGGGTTTGATACTCTTGCGCCGTTTTCAATAGCCTATTCCTGGCGTTATTGGACCTCAAACAGAAGTGAAGGTTACCCGCAAATGATAAAGCCATTGCATGGAGTAAGTAATTTTCTTTGAGATAACGAAACGTATGAGTTAAAAATAAATCGTGGAGTGTTCTAAGTGTTTTATGAAAAATAGCATGCTCCGTCACAGCGGAGAAATCACTGAATCGGAATTCAGCGGCATTACAGAGGCCTAATTCATGAAAGCTCCGCAAGCCTGCGCAATTCCGCAACTCACTGCGGTACCGCTATTTCCAATTCACAAAGGGACCGCAAAGTCAGCATCACTGCAGATATCTTGCGGTACCGCGAGAATTACGTCATTATCGTGCGGTACCTCTGTACTTACCGCAAGTCACTCTCTGAAAATTCAGTGTAATGAATCCTCTTGAAAAAACACTTAACATTACCTTTCAGTGATGGTAATACGTACATGTTTAAACCTGGTATTGCTCTTTTATCAGATTAAGTTTCCCAATGAAAAAATAAAAATTTGAATGTGATATAGACGTTCAAATATGGATGTAAAAGCAACCTGTTCGGAGTATGTTTTTTAAGATTTTTAAGGTTGCGGAACACCGCAACTTTAAGGTTAGTCTGCATGTTCGGAATTTTGCTGCAATCCTCATGTTATATTTCAACTACGAATCACTCCTTCATCATACTGTCTACATTTTTCAGTTTTGCACAAAAGTGCACTAATGCACCTAGAAAAGACCGGTGAGAACATTTGCTTCATAAAATGCATAAGAACGAGAAAATTTGGTGACAGAAGGTTAATTCCGAACATACACGACAACCTAATCTAGTTATCGTCATTTTGAATATCAATAATAAGTACTCTCTGCAAGCAATTGGAGAAACGTGAGACGTAAACGTGTCTTGACTCTTGACGAACACGAATTTCTGGAAAGATATCGTATGCATTAATTTGCAATATGTTAAAACGCATATTGATAAAATCTGCAAGAATGAAGCTTCAAATAAAACGATCTCAAGCACTTCCCTTTAATGCAGGTATTACGCCAAAACGCCAGTGCGTAGTGTTGAAAAGTTGAAAAATAAAAAAGGCTTGTTAATTTCCCTATGTTTTTAAGTCATATTTTCTCATTGTGAATAAATTGCAGAAGTAATCTCGAGCACACTAGCCTAAAGAAATGTTTGATACCATATGATATGTTGGATTTTTCAATTGTACTATTTTACAAGGTTTTAAAGCCTATGCTATTTTTCTAACCTGGACCACAGATAAATAACGTTTTTTATTGGATTAGTTTTAAAATATTGAAAGTCAAAGTAATTATTAGACTCCAGATTGAAAATCTGGAGTCTATTGTTTTCGTCAGTTTTCTTCTTATTATTATTATTCTTATTATTCTAACCCAGTTTTCTCAATAACCATAAGGTCTTCAGTAAAGTCAATCATTTGGTCAATTTAGGTTCAGAATCTAGTTCTCTGGAAATTGGGTCAAAATTTTATCTAGGTCAAAGGTCAAGAACTAGATCAAATCCAGTATTTCGTCACTTTTTTCGATTTTCTCGGTCGTCCTTCAATATTTTCGATCCGGGTTTTTTTCATTGTGTTCCTTATAAAAAAGTAGGAAACCTAGGGTCGATTTAGTTTTTTGATATCTCAAACCGATTTCGAGATATCAGTGTCCGAAAGCGAGGTCCAAAAAAAAGTTCTCCGAATCAAATGTCCAGGATATTAGTCTTATAGGAAATTTTCTCAGGATTCTGAATCTGCAAACCAAATTTCGATCAGACTACCGGTTCGGAAGTTATGGCGTTTTGAAAACTCAAAAATCACTAAATTTGGTGCCCATGTTAAGTCAATGGGAAAAAATATTTTTTTGAAGTGAAAAATACGGAATAAAGACTGAGTTCAGCTTCATATAATCAAAGCCTTTAAAAGAAGGGGACCTCAAAAGCCATCTAGCTTCACAATTTTGACACCGAAATGCCTAGGTCAAAATCTAGGTCAAATTCATAGGTTTTCCTTATTTTTTCGATTCTGACACTACACTTTAATTATATTCTTCGAAATTGTGTATACATGTAGCCAAGAATATGCTAATAGTGTTAGCCTTTTGCCGTCAGAAAGTATTTTGACCCACTTTTGAGATATGGTGTCCGAAAAGTAGGTCAAAATAAAAAGTTCTCCAAATTGAATATATGAGTTATGAATTAAGGGTAGAATTCTGTCAGGAATCCGAATCTGCAAACCAAATTTCGATCCGACTTCCGGTTCGGAAGTTATGGCGTGTCCAAAAAGTAGGTCAAAATAAAAAATCTCAAAATTTAACGTATGAGTTATGAATTAGGGGTAGAATTTTGTCAGGAATCCGAATCTGCTAACGAAATTTAGATCCGACTTCCGGTTCAGAGGTGATAGCGTTTTGAAATTTCGAGAAAAAATCGATCTGATGGTATCCTGATAGAAAGTCAGGAGTAGAGAAGAAAATATTGAAAAATTCATCCATCCTTCCTATCTCATCCTACCCTATCCTTCCTATCTATCCTTCCTTCATATCTTTTCCTTCCTATCCTTCCTATCCTATCCTATCCTTTCTTCCTATTCTATTCTATCCTATCCTTCTTTCTTATTCTATCCTATCGTTCTTTCCTATTCTATCCTATCCTACCTTCCTATTTTATTTATCCATCTCTTTCTAGATGACTCAGCTTATTCTGGATGACTCGGCTTATTCTGGATGACTCGGCTAAAAAAAGTCTAGATCTGGAGTCTGAAATTGAACTTGGTTCAATTTCCAAAATCTAGTTATTGTTCTTATCATTGAACATATTTCATAAAAATCGAGTCACTATTGACTATCTTATGATTTTTTTAAGTAAGCTACAATAGGGCCGAATATTCGTGAATCGCGTCCTATTTACGAATTTGAGAGAAAAACAATTTTTTCTACTACTTGATGAATACCTTTGCAATTTTTGTGCATGTTTCGCAATGCTTATCTATTTTCTTGCTAAATCACTAATTGTTATTGGTACGTACTTCTTGATATATGAATGTTAGAGAAAAAAACTTGAAATTGTTGATTATTCAATAATGCGTTCCATTGATTTCAATGAGTTCTAGCTACCCTTTGCATTCGTTTGACTTCACTTCTTAAAAGAGAGCTTCGTCTTCTTCTTGTAGTTTAACTAGACTCTGCACGCAGGGTAAGTTCTAGCGATACCTCGACTCTTTGAAAGTACATAAAGTACACCTTCAGTTCTGGAAAGGTTTTGGCACCCCCTAAGTCACGTTGACCTCTGTGGAGGGTGGAAGGGGGTAATTTGGTCTTGCAAATTATTGTTGTAAAAGGTTGCAAACATTACGGTTAATTGTATCATTGATCACGAATTTTTTTTTAATCGATTTCTTTACTCTGTATTGCATATTGCCGTATTGCACGATTCAGATGGAATCCGACAATAATATGTATCTTAATTCATTTATTCAGAAATGGTCAAAAATCTCTCATTGTTATGTTGAAATTTTTCGTCTATATTGTTCGAGAAAAATAACATTTACATTAGAAAAGTGAGAATGAGTTGAGTCGAGAGTTAGAAGATCGGCTTTCCATGGTGATTTTATATGATGAAAAACATTCGAACATTTTAAAGTTGAAGATTTGACACAATTGTTTCATTTGGCGTAGTGTTGAATTTACACCTTCCTACGCCCCTGGGTATATTGGTGTAATTATATTCTCCGAAATGTGAACCATCTCCCTTTAATTTCTAGAAGATACTAGATCCATTTTCCCTTTGCCCGGCTTTACTATACGAATGCAAGGCGCTACAAAATTTTGATGTAAAAACCGGTAAAATCCCGAGGTAAAACAATGACTTAGAAGTTAAATTTCCAGTATTATGGCCATTGTTTGATAAAAAATGTGACTCCGAGGTCATGATTTTCAAGGGACAGTATAGCTTAAATGGGTCAAACTGACACCCCTGCCCTAATAAGTGACACGGTCGTCATGGACATAGATTGCGGACACGGAAATTACTTGCGGACACCTAATGAATTTGCGGATAGCTTTATGAATACCACGCAACGCAATAAATTGCGGACACGCAATAGGTCCGCAAATACATTGCGGACACGCAAGCTTGCGGAGCTTTCATGAATTAGGCCTCTGTTGCGTAAGTTTGTCACAGAGTTTTTAACAATTCATAGGTTCCCTATAGGATGTATAGGGGTGACAAATGGACTAGAAGGGGAATAGAATTCAGTTGCATTCAGTGCCATGATTTGTTTGTCATATAATATAGTAGCGTATACGTAAAGATCTAGAGGATGTTCACAAAAAGTACTTTTACTACAACCGTACCTTCAGACCTGAACTAAACAGGTAAAGTTATGATGAAGTATAGTGCTCTTGTGCTGTGTTTGCAGTTGGTCCTGTGCTGAGTGGTGTTAGCTTCCAGTTCCTAGGACGCGAGTCATTTTTTCTACTCTTAGCAAGCATGCTTCTCATCAGTGCAGGTAAGTCATATTACCTTTACAGTCAGTTTACAATGTAATATATAATGCAATTATATAATATGCATAGTGATATTAGGTTTATTGATGTACCAATCTTCTCCAAAGATATTATATTAATATTTTGGGTATACTAGTTGACGTCAAAAATAAATTACAGTAAATAAGTACAGAGTGAGCCAAAAAACAATGCCCAAATTGAAGTTGTGTTCACACATAGCTAGGCAAGGTGTGTCCGATTCCAGCCAATCCGAACAGAGTATTCACACAATGAACAGTGTGTGAAATATCAATAACACATGCAAGTTAACAGTTGTCATGGTGATGAATGGATTTTTCTCATTGGATTTGATGACTTGTCAACTTGACCCTTGCAAAAAAAGTCATTGAAAATGTGTTCTTTTAGTGATTTCGTTCCTCTTAGATGATTTTATAGAAAAAATTGCAATGTGTGAAAAGGATTTAAGCCATAGACTCAATGCATTGTAGCTGCTTCATACCACTCAGGCGTAGTTTCCTAAATTTGCATTCCCACTGCGCGGTCATGTAAAGGTTTTGAAACAACACCTTCATGGTATGATTCAGCAAACAATGCATCGAGTCTTGGGCTTAAATCCTTTAATATTACATGGGCCAATCATTCCATCCGGTCTACTAAACAAATGGTGCATTAAACAATTGTGCGATAATGCAAATAGGAATTGCTATTGCGGTAAATCATATCCCCCATAAAACTGACCCCAACCTCAAAATTAAGCGTGTAACAGTTTTCTTAGTAAGATTATAAGTTATTGAATGATTTGAAGTGCAATACAGGATATATTCTGCTCAAGAAAGTCTGTATTGGAATGAGACAAAGTCGAGTGCAAGTACAGAATATCGAGACAGAATGAATTAAAGGCCAACACATTTTACTAAGGAGATAATCCCTAAGAATTATTCTGTATTCCCTGAATTGCTACTAAAATTTGTCCGCTCCTCCGTGCCAATATTTTCTGTATTGCTATGGAGATGATCAATGGGGACAATCTCAGTAGCAATACAGATTGGTACAGCACAAGAACTGACCAATCAGAGGGCTTCATTTTACAGATCATGCGATAAAATGTAATACTGGTATTTACCAGAATATTCATACTCGTTTCCCAGTTTGATTTTCAATTATGAACACATCATACATCACGGTGTTATAGCATGACGGTTACGCCACCTCTGAAAACGAGGTTGGACGGCTACGTTCACTGATTTATCCAATAAAATGGCCGCGATGGAAGAGAAAACTAAGGTTGGTGCCCGGGGATAACAAGAAATAAGAAAAAAACTGTCGAGTTTGAAATTCAAAACTACACAAAAATTTAGTAATTTGTTTATTTTTGTTGTTAGGGCATGGTCTACATTGCCTAAAAACCTTGTAGTATATAGATGTAACCTACATACGATCATACAAAGCGAATTGAGCATTGGAAACTACCTAATATGTTCTACTCAAGCCATATAATGTATTTTGAATTTGCGGTAACGTAAAAAATTGATGGACGGTTACGCGAACCTGATTCAAATATGAAACCTCGATTCATTGTTGTTAATTTTGTCATCTTCATCAGTACTTGATCCTAAATCTTCTTTTGCCTCTTAATTCATTGCTATCTTTTACACTTTCATCGGTTTCATAAATAAAGCAAGCGACAGTTTTTTTCCTTGCCTTATAGAGGCTGAAACAAGAGCGTCTCTTGCGAGTCCTGAAAACAAATATAGGAAATTCAATATTCCATTTCTTACCCATTATAACAATAACATGGAAAGAGGCTATCAGATCTAGCAACCTTGACTTGACAGATATACATGCACGTAACCGTCCGCTAAATATATGTACAACTAATACAATACGTTACCGTCCATAGAATTCGATAGAAGTAATACGTAGTCGTCTAACGACATTGCGTTTGAAACCTTATTATTTACGATATCACCACGTTCCTGTTCTGGATTTGTCATTTTATGCCTTGTTTATACACAGTGTACCTACAGTTAATATTTTGACTGGCTCTGAGGCACATGTACTGAGAAAACACGAAAATGGGCCAAAAATTAAAAACTTGGATATCTCAGTCGGTAGGTTTACAGCTTATATTCTGTTTCTTGTAGACCACCTGGCAGATTTGACCTAGTCTTTATAACCATCCATATATACGTCACCGAATGGAACTAGTTTAAAAGGAAATCTTATCTGTGAATATTGCCTACAGGCGAGAAAGAGGACATGCTGCCTTTCCCATCCGCCATTTTTTGTTATCGTTACTGCAAAATTTTGCAAATCGCCTTGACGTAACCGTCATGCTATAACACTGTGATACATGTACCTTGGAAATCCAAGATGAGAATATTGAGGACTGCTTTATCTTTAATATGATACTCTATTTGCATTTTTATATTTTGAGTATTTTCTATTTCAGTTTAATTTATTTATTGGTTTTTGGCAAACACTGTACCATTGAAGAGTACTTATTGGATACCTAATCATTAAAGAGGGACATTTACCCTGCTAAGACCCTAAGATAAAAGTCGCCTGTGAAAAATTATTTGCTTTATTCCGGCTTTCAGTTTTACAGATTCTCGTTTACACGCCAAATGAATATGACAACCAAGATACGACAAATGCAGGCCTAACAAAGCTTGTTAGAGACCCATATATCTTACTTGCTGTCGGTAAGTTCAACACATCATAACTTTATGTAATGCACATACTGTTTTGTTATACCTCTGTTAGGAAATGATTTATCTATAATAAGATATAACACATGGCATGGTTGAACATAATATCATATGATATTCATCTTTTATTATTTGTTTATTGTTTTTTTCATAGTGAACACCATCTATTGATCTCTCATATAAGAAGTATCAAGTAAGGTTAATAATAACCGAATAAAAAATTGAAACTTATTTCCGGTATATATTCAATCCAGTATTTCGCTTCAACATTGAATGCCGTCATACAAATTTTTGCATGAATATGTGCTTGAGACATTAAGAAGACTAAAAAGAACCTTAAATACCTGATTTGACTCGATAGATGGGTAAAAAGTGCAAATCTCGATCAAAATTTGCGATTGGTTTTCAAAAACTTTACTGAAATCCGCTCAACACGCATGCACGGACGAATTGCAAAATTGGAGAGATCTGATTGGTTGTTCAAATGCATTATTCACCCAGAGTGCAGAGGGGGAGAAACACCAGAGTTCAAAGATGACATACGCTTATAATGTAAATCTGTATTGAGATGACATCGTCGCTGATTGGTCAAAAGTCGACAAACAAATGACGTCATCAATGGCGGTTTCAAAATTTTCGAACGACGCTTCGAATAATATTATGTTCATTTCTTGCGTGTTAACCGATATCAGAGCTTCTCATTTCACATCAAGATTAAGAAAGGTGTACGGAATATGCCTATATCAATTAAAACATCCCATCGAAGTGTAGTATTTGATAACTAGCCGACGAAAATTCGAACGAACGAAGGTGGTAAGCAAGAGAGGTAATTATGTCTGTCATCCTTAAACTCTGGGGCTTTCCCTCCTCTTCCCAGAGTGCATCGCCGAAACGAGGATTCCCCGAATTCCATCGAGATTTTACACGAGAATTTGCGAGATGTCCATCGGTGGAATTCAACAGTCAAAATCACCACATTTCTAAAGATTTAAGCAGTATTTTTGACATTTCAGGTAAAACGTTTACTTTTTTAACCATTTATGTATTCCCGTCATCTAGGCTAAGAAAAATGTTGAAATATCAATGTAAAACAGCTGAATTCAACGTTTCAAAAATGGAGGGCTCTGACAAGTAACCGCACTTCACATCTTCTTTCAATAGAGATCAATGGATGGTGTTCACTGTGGTTTTTGGCCCTTGTATATACACTGCATTGCATGTCTAAGGAACTTCAGTGTCATAAGTAAAGTCCGGAAAGAAGTAAATGGAAAACGTTGGTGTAGTAAGCCTTCAAACGACCACCTGTTGAATGCAATGTAATCCATACAAAAGACCAGGTTTGGTATCACGCGGTACAAACTTCGACCGTTAATTTGAATTTTTGACCTACCGGATGTTTGAAAATCAAGGATTAGTCCATGGTATGAAATCTCTAGGACGTCTAATAAAGGAGTTGGTAGCACACTATATATATATAGCGCAGCGATATTTGACCTTACATAAACATACCTACATATGTCCCCTAATAATTTTTATTATAACTGATCAATATACTTCCGGCTTTTAGGTTGAATTATGCCTGCCATTAACAGAGGTCAAAAAATCACCAAAAAATTAAATCCCAATTTTTCTCAATTTGGAGTACACAATGCAACAGAAAATAATACAAAATGATTTTAAATATATGATTTAGGTTTCTAAGCTATAAGTTTGAGGTTATTTTTCTTATCAATACCAAAAAATATGTAATCAGTGTATCGACGTTTTGTATTGTAGCTCAGGTATTAATAAGATAAATACTACAACTGAATCACTTTTATATTGGAATGACAAATGTTTAAATTATGCTAGCTTTTCACAAAAGGGGTCTCAATACGTTTTGAGATAGACTTTTATTCAGCGGTGAAAATTATCAATAAAGGTGGGCCTATTGCTCTTCCTTGACTAATTGGGACTACAGCTAAAATTATATTTCCAGTAGTTAGATATAGCTCAGTTGCTTATAAAACAACCATCAAGACTTGATCGAATTCATGAATAATTGAGGAAAATCGTTATCATTATCTTCCTAAAATCTGCTGATATCCAGCAGTTAGGTCAAAGAACAAACAGCCATCAGAAAACTTGATGATAGCCACAAGTAACGTCGAGGAAGAATTTCAAGGCGTTCGATTGCATATGACTCTAATCGATTATTAGACATGTCCTTGGAATATATGAACATTCCAACACCTCTGTTACATTTAATTAGATATAAATCTTACCTATTTGTTATTGTATTATGTTTTGTAAAACATGAACAATAATTTTCTATTAGACCCCTTGCGATTATATGGAAAAATTCTGGAAATAAAATGTTTTAAATTGTAAGAAAACTAATATGTTCCCAATCATAAATTACCTAAATATTCCACATAATTTTGTTGAATCTGCTTAGCTTATATTTGAAAAATCAAAAAAATCTGAAAAACACACTTGCATAATTACACTAACTAATTGTGTCTTATAAAATGTATAAAAGTTCGAATCAAAATATTGCTTCAAATGTTGCTGCGCTATAGTGTGCTACGGATCTTTCATATTCGGAAGTCATACCATGGACTAGATTACGAGTCTCGTACTGCACCGTTTTTCTTCAAACTTGTCCCATTCAAAGCATAACAAAAATCCCTTTCTGAGTCCCTACTTCAAGTGGCATTTTTGGTCCCCAGCTGTAAGAAGGCCTTCTAACAGCTGGGGACCAAAACGCTGCTAGAACGAGGGACTCTTTACAATAAAGTAATAAACCGACAGAAAGGCAATTTTGTTTTGCTTTTAATGGTATAAGTTTGAAGAAAAACGGTGCAGTATGAGACTCGCAATCCTTGATTTTCGAGCATCTGGTAGGTCAAAAATTCAAATTAACGGTCGAAGTTAGGACCGCGTGGGTATGGCAAACCATTTTAGACACCCATATCTTTGGCCCTGAATGTATCCGGACCATAACTACATCATATTTCATTAAAATTATTCGAAAAACCATTGTTTAGGCCTTCCTGGTGTTTAGAACCCAATCTTGGCACGTTTTTCAACTTATTTCCAAAAAATTTCTTTTCTCATTTTAACCATATCACAGGTTTCTCCAGTTCTTTGTCAATATCTTCTGAAATTTGGTGCTTAATTAACCACTATTTTTTTCATTGGCCTGTATATCAATTGGTAGTGCAACGGTGGAATTGGTGAAACTTTTAACTTAAACAAAATCTATTCATTGGAAACATCATAACATCATCAAATTATAAAGTTCATAGTTTATTAAGCTTATCCACACCAAATGTTTAAGGGAGTTCATTAATAAATATTTCCGGATTAACAGAAGGCACAACATGGCTTAGTTTGTAATGTATCACACAATTTAAAATTCAAAAATGACCATTGGTTCCACACCGCATGATCATATCATCCATACAATTCTTTTCTGTTCCTTAGTAATGTGATCATATGCAACCAGCCATAGAAGGGAAATGATGCAGATATAATTTTTTATTTAACTTTTCAGGTGTAATATTTATGTTGAACATTGGAATTGCCGGCTTGGATGGGGGACTTCCATTATTTCTACAGAAACAGTTCCAATCCCCTATTTGGCAACAAGGTAAGACAAGCGCCTGTCTATATTTGTTTGTGTAACATGTCTGACAACATACCAGTGTAAAAATAAGGTAAGACAAGCCTTCCTCTGTTATAAATCTCACAACATGCCTTTGTGGCAACAAGTTAACACAGTGACCTCTCTCTGATTATGTTATATGTCTCACAGCATGCCTTTGTGGCAACAAGTTAACACATTGACCTCTAATTATGTTATGTGTCTCACGGCATGCCTTTGTGGCAACAAGTTAACACATCGACCTCTTATTATGTTATATGTCTCACAACATGCCTTTGTGGCAACAAGTTAACACATTGACCTCTAATTATGTTGTATGTCTCACAGCATGCCTTTGTGGCAACAAGTTAACACATTGACCTTTCTCTGATTATGTTATATGTCTCACAAAATGCCTTTGTGGCAACAAGTTAACACATTGACCTCTAATTATGTTATATGTCTCACAACATGCCTTTGTGGCAACAAGTTAACACATTGACCTCTAATTATGTTATATGTCTCACAACATGCCTTTGTGGCAACAAGTTAACACATTGACCTCTAATTATGTTATATGTCTCACAACATGCCTTTGTGGCAACAAGGTAACACATTGACCTCTCTCTAATTATGTTATATGTCTCACAACATGCCTTTGTGGCAACAAGTTAACACATTGACCTCTAATTATGTTATATGTCTCACAACATGCCTTTGTGGCAACAAGTTAACACATTGACCTCTAATTGTTATATGTCTCACAACATGCCTTTGTGGCAACAGGTTAATACATTGACCTCTCTCTGATTATGTTATATGTCTCACGACATGCCTTTGTGGCAACAGGTTAACACATTGACCTCTCTCTGATAATGTTATATGTCTCGCAACATGCCTTTGTGGCAACAAGTTAACACATTGACCTCTCTCTGATTATGTTATATGTCTAACAACATGCCTTTGTGGCAACAAGTTAACACATTGACCTCTATATATATAATTATGTTATATGTCTCACAACCTATTCTATGCTCCCTTCCAAAACATTTGCAACGTGTGGTATTATTGACATTGTATGTCCGAATGATTTCTGGGAAGGACAGGAGCTTCAAAGAATTATATTTCACCCTTAATATTGAAATTGTTATTTTATTCCATTTAAGGTGCCGCATTTCTTCCAAATTGTATTGTTTATCTTGTGAGTTCTGCGCTTTTTGGTGCCATTGGTCATCTAGTCGCTCGATGGAGGTGTGTTTTGATGGGGATTTTAGTATTTGCTGCAGGAATCATTACGGTATGATTCACATTGTTTGATTTTAAATTAAAAATACTAAAACTGTTCACAATAGTTTCAGTACTGAAGTGCGAACTTACATGTAAGCTTTGGTTATTCTTTGTATCCTTTAGCGGTTTGAAATTATCAAAAATATACTATTTATCTAGCTGTATGTACATAGGATGAAACATATTTCCATTACATTAAACATTGAAAGATTACAATATTAGGCTAATGCAATGTGAAAAGACTGCATGTTAGTCTTACGCAACATTGAGAGGATACAGAATTCAAATGCAACATGGATAGGACACAGTATCAACACGGTGATTTAAGCAAACTCATTGGAAGATGAACAATTTACAATTTACTTCTGTCCCTTCCAGATCACATTTTCTAGTCAATTTGCTCAAGTTGCAGTGACGAGTGGCGTAGCAGGGTTGGGCGTTGGTATGGCTGAGTCGTGTATATACACTATGCTAGCCCAACTGGCGGATATCAGACACATAGCTATGTATGGAACTGTATACGCACTTGGGGACATCGCAATGTGTCTGGCTTATGCACTGGGTATGACAGTATTCCTTCCTTAAGAGTTCTTAGCTTCAACCTCAAACTGTTTCGTCTCACTGATAATATCTGAATGAAGCTTTGAAGACGTTTTATAGTATGACATCACAGTGAGTGGGAAATTGTTTTTTCTTTTGATTATAAAATTGTCTCGGTCGGCATTTTTGTCATTTATTTATGCATTCATACATCGATATGTCTCTGCTTTGCTATTCAACATGCTCAGCTCACAGGTTTCGGAGTTTCATAAACTTAGCACTCAATTCTGCGAATCTCGAGCAAAGTTTGAAACAACACCTTGGAAGAATGATATTCACTCCACAATGCACCGAGCCCGACCTTAAATCCTTAAATAACTCGAATAATAATCATCCTATCGTTTCAGGGCCAGCTTTATGTGGGCTTATAGGATTCCAATGGTACGTAGGAGTTAATACTAAGAACTATATCTAGTATAAATAAGATAGAACAACGTTTCCTGGAATTTCATGTTATTTTTTATCTGAGTAGGTCTCTAATTAAAGGTTTCTAACTAATAGCAGCTAATAAATTGTAGCTCTGTTCCAGGATGACTTATAGTGTTGGCATTGTCAGTATATTCTATGCGCCTCTTATTGTGTTATTCAAACTAGTAATAAAGAAGGACAGTGATGAAAAAGAACCGAGAACGGAGAATGAAAAACAGGTTAGTGCACCTGATATCATGAAATTCGATGGGACTCGATGGGGCAAAGTAATCAAGGTCCCATGGGACTTAGTGGGCTTCGATGGGGCAAGTTGGAATAAGATGGGGCAAGATGGGACTCATGGGGCAAGTGGGATTTTGCCCCATTGATATTTACTGGGCTTTACACAGGTTTTACTGTATTTTTACTTATTTTTAAGTCCAGCTTCCTCCAAGTCCACGTGACCAATATGACATAAGCTGCCCCTCATTGCCTTTCTAAGCTGGGCGTTTCCCCGGGGGCGTTTCATAATGAGCGTACCTTATACAGGCAATTGTAAATACCATACCCCATAGGCTTTATTGAAACATATTTAATTAGATTGGGTTTCAATTTTGTATGTATCCTGTCATCAGCTATGATAAATATGTCGATTATACAGGGTGATCAAAAAACGGCAACCCTAAATTTTCCTCATATCTTTGTCAATTCTGCCCTGATATTTGGCACACATGTACATCATTCAATTTTATACTAGACTGTATTATTTCATGAACATTGGGACTGATAGTCGCGATGTTACAGCACTTTAAACAAGGTGCCCCAGTTTTCCAATACCGTACTGTAGGCAAACCTGCACACGTTTTCCAAACCTGTCAATGACATAACTGCATTCCTCAGCAAGTATGGCCTGAATGACACATGTGATCTTTATTTGAGGTCAAATGTCTTTCTGGTCCCAAAGGGGTCCCAAAGCCATAATTGTGCATCATTGGATGTATGGGGTATGGTTCTGTCTTGTTGGAACCACTGTTGCTGCCTATCAACAACCCCCCCCCCCCCTGGGTTTACCTAAAGTCCCCAAGAACTCCATAGGAATCACAAAATAAAGTTTGATGTTGACAGTTATTGCATATCCGTTGGTATCATCCAAGGTAAAGGACCCTATCTTCTGAGAATACAATAAATTGTGCATTTGTCTGTGTGAAGGTGCCTCTCCACTACAGACCCATTACCTCATCAAGTGCTTGGCTCCCCAATAATACATAATTGTTGAGTTTACCAGTGCATCAAGTTGGAAATTGAGTTCATTTGAGTAACAGACCAGCTCATACAGCCTGAAAGTGGCCATCTGGGGCATATTGCTTAAATGCAGTAATATTGTGACTGTCATGAAATATGGTAGGTTGGTAGGAAATTGAATGATGTACAAATGTGTAAAATATCAGGGAGTTATTCCTTAGAATGACAAAGATATTAGGAAAAACTAGGGTTGCCGTTTTTTGACCACCCGTCCCTGTACTATGTCAATGACGATGTGAATAAAATACAATGTTTTATGTTGCATTTTCTGGCCGTGGGGTTTCATCGTTTGAAAAAAACTATGTACTCTAGGGGCGGGGAGGAAAATTCTCAATAAATGGTGTATAGTTGGTTTGGCAGCATTTTCAGTTAGGGGAGAGTCTTGGATGAAACTTCCACCTAGGTGATAGCTTCACAGAGTGGTAGGAAGTTCTTTTTTTTGAGGAGTTAGCCCCCCACCCCCCAAAAACACCCCACCCTGGGGAAAAAATTGTTCACACTAAATAACCTTAGATATTTTGATGTTTGTAAGTGACATACATAGATATCATATATATGAATCATTTGCAGTATAATTGATACTGATCACTCCTAAAGAACTTGAATATTAGTACAAAGTATGTACCCCAGGGGGCAAATTCGTGACTCATTTTCTTACTATTTTGATTCTAACTTTTCAATTAGACACTTAAAGAGGTTGGAAAAATTCATATGAAGTGCCCAATAGCAGGGTTAGTAAACCTGAAAGATGCAAAGCCATGGAAGAGGTAGGACCTGAGAAAAAAATTGTTGATTTTTCGAAAAATTTGACATTTTTGACAGCTGGATTTTGTGTATGACTATAGCTGACCCTTATAATTTCTAGATCCATCCCTCTATAATGATATTTATGGTTTTATAGTGTGAAACTAAGATGTAAAACATAATTTAGATGGGTTTTAAGGAAGTTAAAGGTTTTAAACAAGTCCAAAATTTGAAAAATTGTAAATATAAGGTTTCAAATTTATGAATTACAGGTATAGCCATGGCTGACCCCTATAGTTTCTAGATCCATCCCTCTATGATGATATTTATGGTTTTATAGTGTGAAACTAAGATGTAAAACATAATGTAGATGGGTTTTAAGGAAGTTAAAGGTTTTAAACAAGTCCAAAATTTGAAAAATTGTAAATATAAGGTTTCAAATTTACGAATTACAGGTATAGCCATGGCTGACCCCTATAGTTTCTAGATCCATCTCTCTATGATGATATTTATGGTTTTATAGTGTGGAACTAAGATGTAAAACATAATTTAGATGGGTTTTACTTTGAGACAGCGAAGGTGCAAACAATCCACCCACGTGTTTTTTCGGAAATGTTGTCCTGATTTTCAAGCCCTTTTATCCCTGGTTTTTCAATTTTTGTTGCATCAATATGTTGCGTTTTGAGACATAGTTAACCCATAAAAAGGAATAATAAATTTCTTTTAGATAAAGCAGAAAACAATATTTTCCTGCTATTTTCCCATAGGGAAAACTCATGTGCTCCATTACTTTCAGCTTAATTTTGGTCACCCATATTTGATATCTTTTAAACCCCTGATGGAATGCATTATTTCTTTAAAGGGGTTAACTGTGTGTCAAAACACAACATATTGATTCATGTGGGTGGGTTGTTTGCACCCTGTCTCAAATAGAAATTATTTTATCATCTCTATGAGTGCTTTTCCTGGAGGAAATGCATTGGCCTAACATATGCACCTCCTCAAATCCTCAGAAAATAGCAAAAGTCCAACATGTAACTGTTCTTAATCTGTTGCGATACTTTCAGTCCTCCTTTACGATTTCAGGTATTGCATTGGATGTCTCTCTTTTTGAATGTATGACTTTTTAGCTTAGAAATTAGATGTTGAAAATATTGTGATCAGGTTTGATCCATGTTACAAGTATTGTTAAAAGAAAAATCATTAGAGTTGAGGACCTTACCCTAGAGTTCCTAAGGGGATGAGAGGTTAATAAATCCCCCCCCCCTAAAGTGTAACTACTCTTAGGGATATCGTATACAGTGTAGTAATTGATTGATTAAATGGATTATAACTAATTAATTATTATTTGATGATATTTATTATGTGATATAGCATTTTTACTTTTTCACATCAACATGTTCGATGTAATGTTCTACATTGTAAAAATACATAAAGACATGGTTAATTAAAAGAAACATTATTTCTCTATATTTTGTTATGCCCATGCTGTAATTAAGCAATGATCATCTCCTAATACAAAATATTATTATAAATTATCAAATTATAATCACTACACTCCCAATAAAACAACTTGTCATCAGGCAACAGTAATTATTTGGGAAAATAAGGATTATAAGGATCATACCCCCCCCCCCCGGGCCTAGAAACTCCCGTTAGTGCAATAAGATTAGGAACTCCAGGATAAAAGGGTCTTGTCCCACTAAAATCTTCATGTAGATCAAAAAAGTATATATGGTGATATATATGATCAATATGTTTCAAACAAACAGACATTGTAGAAAATGTTTACATACTGACTTTGCAGATGACATTTTCTAGCAGTTGAAGAATTTTTTACATTTATTGAAATGATATTCATAAAATTAGAAAATCAGTGTCATTTGATGCAAATTACTGCAGTCCCACATGTTCTCCTGCTGAATGTAAAACAGAGTGAATAAGTTTAAAATCAGCCTCTTCAAGAGTGGAATTTAACAGGGGATTTCAGTTATCATTTTCACAGATATTTGAGTTCTCTCCAATAGATCAACTTAAAACAATCTTGACATTTGGCACACTTTTAGAATGCTGCTTTATTAAATTTCTTTGTAATCTTTGAAAATTTGTATTATATGACTTGGCCAAAAGGTATTCATGTTTTTAGGTAATTGTGTAATTTCTTCTTTGGATTAAAGTTCAGTAGGGGAAGCATCCATTCTTCGCATTCTTTCAGAATCCTTTACTGATGGAGACTACTAGGAGTCTAATATGAAATCTATTCTTTACTAGACTTTACTAGGCTCCTTTACTAGATTTGATGGAGTAGTCAAATATTGCTTTCCAAAACTCTCCAAATTTCAACATATAAGTTAATCTTAATTTTCCTTTTGTCATAGCCATTGCATCGATCACGAAAGTTTTATCAATTTGTGGTATGGTTTCATCGATCTCCATTTCAAACCCCTTTTTAAGTTCTGAACGAACTGTTTGTATCCATATACGTAAGATCATAGTTTACTCACACATAGCTAGGCAACGTGTGTCCAATTCCAGCCAATTCAATACTCCATATAACTGCATTCCATTTTACTACTCTCATAAACCCAAGGTCAATTTTAGATTCTAGAGAAAGTAATGAAACCAATAAGCTGATCAATAACATTGACTAAAAATCTATAAATAGCATCATAGGGAATAGCATGCCAAGTGCTTGTATTTGAATTTATGTGGATTACTCATTTGGTAGACACCTTTATCAAATTTTAAAGTGTTGTTGATTTTCAAGTTGTACAAGCAAAGTATCATGGGTGCTTTCTTTTCCTGACATAGTATTAACATTGTGGTAAAAATTATCAAATGCACCTGGTACAGTAGTTCTAGTTCATCATCTTGTATAAATGATATATCATCAGTGAAACCTGTATAATCCCAACATCTGACTATTGTGAACACCTCCCAATCATCCCAAAACCTGACTAATCTGAACACCAACCAATCTTTTCCCAGTCCAATTTTTCCTCCCATTGACTCCTATGTTTAAAAAATTGAAATCTGAATACCTCTTCATTCGAACAGTGAACACTCATATTTGAAAAATTAACCTGTCTTACTTGAACTCTTTTCACCAAATATCACATATTTCTTACAAAATTGCTCAAATATTGTCAGTTTAACACTGAATTGTTATGATATCAAAACTTTTGAATTGGATTTTGGAATGCTATTAAGCTTTTTATGTGGTCAGTATAAATATTATTAATATTTTTCATTGAGAATGCATTCATATTTCTTCAAAATCCAGAACTTGTATTGTAGATGTAAAAACTGCTGCAACAGGTATATATTCTACACCTGGTCTCTAAGCTATGATATCATAGTTGATACCATTATGCGCATAACCTTCAATTATCAGGGCTCATTCAAGGCTGTACCTGAATAACGTGAATTTGAAACCAATTTTGAGATCAATTTTTCAAATTTTGCACTTGTTTAAAACCTTGAACTTCCTTCAAACTCATCTTAGGTATCTTTTACATTTTAGTTAAATACTCTTAAAACTATATATTTCATCCCTGAGGTATAGATGTAAAAACCATAAGGGTCATCTTTGGCTATACCTGAAATTCATAAATTTGAAACCTAACATTTACAATTCTTCAAATTTTGGACTTGTTTAAAACCTTAAACTTCCTTAAAATTCATTTTGGATATGTTAAATCTTAGTTCCACACTCTAAAACTGTATATTTAATCATAGAGGTATGGATGTAAAAACCATAAGGTTCAGCCGTGGCTATACCTGAAATTCGTAATTTTAAAACCTTATATTCACAATTTTTCAAATTTTGGACTTGTTTAAAACCTTAAACTTTCTTAAAACCCATCTAAATTGTGTTATACAAATTAGTTCCACATGGCAAAACCATAAAAATCATCATAGAGGGATGGATCTAGAAACTATAGGGGTCAGCCATGGCTATACCTGGAATATGTAAATTTGAAACCTTATATTTACAATTTTTCAAATTTTGGACTTGTTTAAAACCTTTAACTTCCTTAAAACCCATCTAAATTATGTTTTACATCTTAGTTTCACACTATAAAACCATAAATATCATTATAGAGGGATGGATCTAGAAATTATAAGGGTCAGCTATAGTCATACACAAAATCCAGCTGTCAAAAATGTCAAATTTTTCGAAAAATCAACAATTTTTTTCTCAGGTCCTACCTCTTCCATGGCTTTGCATCTTTCAGGTTTACTAACCCTGCTATTGGGCACTTCATATGAATTTTTCCAACCTCTTTAAGTGTCTAATTGAAAAGTTAGAATCAAAATAGTAAGAAAATGAGTCACGAATTTGCCCCCTGGGGTACATACTTTGTACTAATATTCAAGTTCTTTAGGAGTGATCAGTATCAATTATACTGCAAATGATTCATATATATGATATCTATGTATGTCACTTACAAACATCAAAATATCTAAGGTTATTTAGTGTGAACAATTTTTTCCCCAGGGTGGGGTGTTTTTGGGGGGTGGGGGGCTAACTCCTCAAAAAAAGAACTTCCTACCACTCTGTGAAGCTATCACCTAGGTGGAAGTTTCATCCAAGACTCTCCCCTAACTGAAAATGCTGCCAAACCAACTATACACCATTTATTGAGAATTTTCCTCCTCGCCCCTTGAGTAATGGTGATCATTGTATTTTTCTTGCAGAAACTGATTGTGAAAAACATGACTGACTTTAGTGCTGACTATTCTATGCATCTCACACAGTACTCTCCATACACGACTCTAGTCCATAAACCCAAAGAACTTATAATCAGTCAGGGAAGTACCAAAGATTCTAAATAGAGTAACTGGAAATTATGGGCTACAAGTCTTCTTTCTGGAGGGTTCGCGGGTGGTCGAAGTCCGTACATGCGGATATATCAACGTGATGAAAGCATTGAAATGAGATCAAACATTGCCTGCTGTATCTCTACCGTGACACATCTCTATAAACCCAGTCGACCATCCTTGTTAAGGAAATTATTTATTTCACAAATTAACATTTTAACCACTCTATACTATAAGATACCCTTGTCATACGAAATTAGAGAAACAAGGATGAGAAGATTGTATCGTATCTTTTCATTATATCAATTCTTGATATATATTAGGATAAGAGATAATTACCCAAATGCGAGTAGGTAGTTACCAGTTTCACCACCAGGTGGCTGATTCGGGTCAATTAACATGGCAGGTATATAAGAAAGTTCCCCTAAACTTGAATATTATCAATTTAAGTGGCTCAATTTTCATATTACCCTTATGCGTCTAATACTTATACTAATGAAAATATGTCCAGTAAAGCAAAATATCTGTCCACTAAAAGAAAAGATATTTCATTTTTTGTGATTTTATAGCATGGGGTCTATGGGGAATCTCCCCGAGCTAGAAGTCACATTTTCAAAGAAAATTAATTTTTCAAAGTTGATAAACACTTTTTAAAACCACATTTCTAGAAGTAATTTTACATGTAGATTTCAAATATGATATTACTTTGACTGAATTTTGAATATTTAATGACGTAAATCAAGATTATTTCTACTCGCATCTGGGTCATCGAATGACAAATGGCCTCGTACTGAGACAGTCGTGCAAATTACTAAATAAAATGGATCTCTTATAACATTCCCTGTGAATTTATGATAAGAGAGAATACCATGTGTCGTGTGTGCTGCTCTGATTAAACCAAAGTATACTTAAAACACACACATATGATAATTACTGGTTAGTTCTACACTAGTAATACACGTTTCTGACGAATGTGCAGCACAGATTATAATAATGTTTAATAACAGAAAGACATATTAAATTGAATAAATGTTATATTACAAAAATAAAATATGGACATATGGATAACTTATATGTACACACTGCCTGTATTACTTTCTCCAACATCCTCTGTCACTTCTGCTATGGTATTCAATTGTACTGGTATAACGTTGATTGACGGCACCATCTTTCGTTTTCCGAATGTCTTCATTCGGTATGACGATGTTGTTGTTGACGCAAACTCATCACTTTCTGTCATTGTTGTACTCTGATTACCTTGGTTTACAATTAATTTTACCATTCGCCATATTTCAAACCTAGTAACTCTGTTAAGGTATCCATAAATACATTGATTTATTACCGTCTCTGAGTAGAGGAGAAACATGGCGCAAGTCTGCCATTTTGGATTAACGAGTATTCCCTGGGCTTCGATTCCTGATATGATAAAATACGGCCCTCGACAGAGCATAAACGTTAATATTATCAAAAGAATGGTTCTTACTGCTTTGAAATCTCTTACTTTTTTCCTGGCTTCGAACAACATGGTATTCCTTTTAAATGATCCACTCGATTCTCCTGTAGCTGTATGTGTGGAGTCTTCAGTGCTTGGGTAAACTTTGTTACGTCGTTTAGTGTGGCTAACTGCTGCAATGAATATCCTTCCGTAGCACCAGCATATTATCCCAGTGGGGATGGCATAGAAGAATATACCAACAACTATATTATAACCATCCGCCATTCGACCAGGTTTCCATTCTAAACTACAAACATATTTATACCGTTGGAATGTATACTTTCCCCATCCGGCTAAAGGTGGCGCTGCTGCCAAGATTACTATAATCCATTGAACACCAATCAAAACCTTGCATCTGAAGATCGTGAATACATAAGGGTACTTCAACGAAGACATGATTGCGTAGTAACGGTCCAAAGACACCATGAGAACGGTGGATGTCGATCCCATCACTAGTGTGTTAAATAAAAAGGCTTGACTGAGGCACCAAATTGTCCCAAATGGCCAACTCTGAGATACGACCGCTCCAAGTGTAAAAGGGAGTGCCAATACAGCTATTGCTGAAACACAAAGAAAATTATGGAGATAATATTAGTAAGCTTCCTCACTATATTCACTGCTCAGAATCAGGCTTTTTCAAAATGGCGAAGGGCAACTGTCGATTTCGATATTTTTAGTTTTCATTGATTGATCGAAATCAACTACTTTGACGTGGATATTCGGCTTTGAAATTTCGAATTAAACTACTTTGGCGTGGATATTCGGCTTTGAAGTTACGGATGAAATTGCTGGATGTTATGAGTTAATTTGGGCAGGACCTGGATTAGAAAGATATGTTACACAAAGTAAGTTCATAACTTAGAATACACGAACCAGCATGACACATCAATCTAATCACATCTATGTTAAGAACAATAAATACAATATCATATATAATTGCTATTATTTACTGAATATCACAATTATATTAATGAGCTGTTACACCCCATGCAGACAGATTGAAATTTAAAATAATTTGTCACCCATGGAGCAAATTAATTTTTACTGCTTAATAAATGGTAAATGACAGCCAAATTAAGTTTTATAAGTATGAGAATAGCATGATGTCTTGATATTTTAAGGTAAAGTCGTTTGAAAAGTGATGGTGGTGATTGAAAAAAACGATGTAAAGATAAAACCGCAACGAGATATTTGTAGATTTCTTTGAAGAACTAAAAAATATATACATCACATATCGAATTTTCCGAAACACAAAAAAACATGTATAAATTGTAGGGCCTGCACGTCCGATTCCCCTTGGTAGCATTAGCATTGGTCTCGTATATGTCACACAATTAACATTTGAAAGGTAACTGTTATTCGAACTTATGATCGGACATTAGTATGATACTAGTATTACTTAATTACCTTGAAGTACACATCATACTTATGTCCGATCACAAGTTCGAATAATAGTTCAAACATTAATTGTATGATATACACGAGACCAATGTTAATGCTACAAGGACGAATCGGACCTGCAGGCCTTACTATTTATACATGTTTTTCTGTTTTGAAAAATTCTATATGTGATGTATATTTCTTAGTTTTTCAAAGAAATCTACAAATATTTCGTTGCGGTTTTATCTTTACATCGTAATTTCAATCACCGCCATCACTATTCAAACGAGTTACCTTGACATATCAAGACGTCGTGCTATTCTCATACTTATAGAACTCAATGTGACTGACATTCACCATTTATAAAGCAGTAAAAATTAATTTGCTTCATGGGTAGCAAAATTTTTCTAATTTCCCGGTGAATGTCGAGTCTCGCATCATACGAATGTAATTTCAGGCGATCTGTCTGCATGGTGTGGCAAATGGTTGTTTCCTGTGAATTTTAATACTAGGATTCGATTGTTTATTGGGTAGTGGTAGTAAAGTCTGCTTGTATAATAATGCATTAGATGCAATAATATGTCAATTGGTAAACTGAATTTCAAAGTACTGTAAAGCGTTAACTTACTAACAATAGTACATTATGTTTCATTATTTTGCCAAAAATAAGTCGTCATCTCCCAGTGAATTGATCACCAAAAAGCAATCACCTTTGCAACCGAGATAAAAGACCGAATTCGAGTTCATAGAGGCCCGTTTCATTTGAAATCCGATTCTGAATATTTAATTATTATGAATCGTGTTTGTTTTAATCATTCCTTAAAACATCTTGGTATGGTTACGCTTGCGTGTATTACATCTATCAGACTTGCCAACCTAAAATGAAAATTTTTCGGGAGATTTAAAAAAAATTGCAGTACTTTTACGGGAGTTTTTTTACAAATCCGGTAGTTTTTGCGGGAGTTTTTTGAAAAAAAGCGGGAGTTTTTACGGGAGATTTTTCAAAAAAACGCCAGTTTTTACGGGAGATTTAAAAAAACGGGAGTTTTTGCGGTAAATTTTGAAAAAAAACGGGAGTTTTTACGGGAGATTTTGAAAAAACGGGAATTTTTAAGGGAGATTTTTTAAAAAAGGTATTTTTCGCGCTAAATTTTAAAAAATGTGACTTTTTAACGGAAGATTTCAGATAAAACGGTAGTTCTTGCGGTAGGTTCTGAAAAAACGGGAGTTTTTACGGTAGGCTTTGAAAAAACGGGGGGTTTTGCGGTAGATTTAAAAAAAACAGGAGTTTTTGCGCTAGATTTCTGAAAAAACGGGAGTTTTTACGGTAGATTCTGAAAAAACTGGAGTTTTTACGGTAGATTTCGGAAAAACGGGAGTTTTTACGGTAGGTTTCGGAAAAAACGGGAGTTTTTATGGTAAATTTCTGAAAAAATAGAGTTTTTACGGTAGATTTTGAAAAAACGGGAGTTTTTACTTTAGATTTTGAACAAAACGGTAGTTTTTACTTTAGATTTTGAAAAAACGGGAGTTTTTACGGTAGATTTTGAAAGAACGGGAGTTTTTACGGTAGATCTCGGAAAAAACTGGAGTTTTTACGGTAGGTTTCTGAAAAACGGGTGTTTTTACGGTAGATTTTGAAAAAACGTGAGTTTTTACGGTAGATTTATGAAAAAACGGGAGTTTTTACGGTAGATTTATGAAAAAACGGGAGTTTACTTTACTTTTATAATTTGCGTGAGGTTCCATTTTTAGGTTCGGTTTTTCGCATGAGCATTAAATCCAGCGACTTAATTGGTTGATATTATTATGACGCATGCGCAGTTAATAAATTAATTAGAACTTATAATCTAAGATAGATGTCACTTACGTTCCTTATTTCACAGCAGCTTATACCGAACTGATCGCAGAAAAGCAATTTGAATCATGGGAATGAAGTACCGTACTCTTAAGTTATTTATGAAAGTATCGATAGTGAACCATGGGAGCCAATCCTTCTTGGAGTAAAAGAAAGAAGCGTGCCTGCAATAATCAAGGTCACAAATTTGTCAAATTCCTTTTAAATACGGTAGATTTCGACAGCAAAAAACGGAGATTTTACGGGAGTTATACCAAGAATACGGGAGATTTTACGGGAGTTATACCAGAAAAGCGGGAGTTTTTACGGGAGATTTTTCAAAAAAACGGTAGTTTTTACGGGAGATTTAAAAAAAAACGGGAGTTTTTGCGGTAAATTTTGAAAAAAAACGGGAGTTTTTACGGGAGATTTTAAAAAAACGGGAATTTTTAAGGGAGATTTTTTAAAAAAGGTATTTTTCGCGCTAAATTTTAAAAAATGTGACTTTTTAACGAAAATGTGACTTTTTAACGGAAGATTTCAGATAAAACGGTAGTTTTTGCGGTAGGTTCTGAAAAAACGGGAGTTTTTACGGTAGGCTTTGAAAAAACGGGGGTTTTTGCGGTAGATTTAAAAAAAACAGGAGTTTTTGCGCTAGATTTCTGAAAAAACGGGAGTTTTTACGGTAGATTCTGAAAAAACGGGAGTTTTTACGGTAGATTTCGGGAAAACGGGAGTTTTTACGGTAGGTTTCGGAAAAAACGGGAGTTTTTATGGTAGATTTCTGAAAAAAATAGAGTTTTTACGGTAGATTTATGAAAAAACGGGAGTTTACTTTACTTTTATAATTTGCGTGAGGTTCCATTTTTAGGTTCGGTTTTTCGCATGAGCATTAAATCCAGCGACTTAATTGGTTGATATTATTATGACGCATGCGCAGTTAATAAATTAATTAGAACTTATAATCTAAGATAGATGTCACTTACGTTCCTTATTTCACAGCAGCTTATACCGAACTGATCGCAGAAAAGCAATTTGAATCATGGGAATGAAGTACTCTTAAGTTATTTATGAAAGTATCGATAGTGAACCATGGGAGCCAATCCTTCTTGGAGTAAAAGAAAGAAGCGTGCCTGCAATAATCAAGGTCACAAATTTGTCAAATTCCTTTTAAATACGGTAGATTTCGACAGCAAAAACGGAGATTTTACGGGAGTTATACCAAGAATACGGGAGATTTTACGGGAGTTATACCAGAAAACGGGAGATTTTACGGGAGTTATACCAAGAATACGGGAGATTTTACGGGAGTTATACCAGAATACGGGAGATTTCAGCAAAAATACGGGAGATTTTACGGCCATATTTTTAAAAAAATTACGGGAGATTTTAGTAGAAATACGGTACGCCGGAGTTTACGGTAGTTTTTACGGGAGAAAACGGTACGGGAGTTTGGTATTTTTTACCGAAAAACAAAAAATTTACGGGAGATTCCCGTAAAAAACGGGAGGTTGGCAAGTCTGCATCTATGATTCCAATCACTGAACACAAACCCAGGACCTCCTCCTTGAAGACATCATGAGAAAGCATGACCTTCTATTAGCTTCTTTCTAGAATATTTCTAGTTGAAGGCAGAAAGATGTGATTAGTGTCAAAATGCCTTGAAGAAGGCCCTGTTTTTTTTCTTATGTGCAATCATACTTACAAAAGTCACACAACATCCGTTTATACATCCTTTAATAGTACTATTGGTCATACCCTTTAGTCATAGAGCCATTGCAAAAGTAAAGGATGTTTTTATTTATTATTACAAAAAGGTAGTATGAGGATGATTAACAGGAACATTCTCTTTGGACTCCGGAAGTAAGGTCTTGCATGATTAATAATAATCATTTTGCGTTGAAATTACTTACGATCAGATAACATTTCCATCGGTAATTGTTCTATGGATTTGGTAAGTTCCGCAAGCTCTTTTTATAAAGCTCTATATGCACAGCGCATTACAGCTTGTAATTAGGGGGATATTTTATGATTGATTACCATGATAGAAATAGAAGAGTGATTGAATATTCATAACTAAAGTGGCATTGAATATGGTACTTTTATGGCATTTATTCTCTTATGTAAATGCACTGGAAGAAACGCTTCGTATCCATTTACTTAACATATATTGTTCTTTTCACAACGGAAGTACTGACAAGTCAGGCCTCGGATGAAGAAATGACTACCGGTAGTTATATAAGGATTTAAAGCCTTGGACTCCGTGCATTGTGTGCTGAACCATTCCACAAAGATCAGATGTAATGTTGTTTCTAAATCTTTGCATGACCCCGCAGGACAGAC